TCAGGCATGAAAATGTGCTGCTCAAATACTATACTTTTCCGCACACACTGAAAAAAAATTAGAGGGAACATTGCCACTGGACTGAGTACCATTTACTACCAATGTCTTATGCTGTATTCGTAACATTGACTTTGAAAAGTTATAAAATGACATCTACCTAGCCAAAACATGGCATCTTTCTTTAAATGTAGATAAGTGCAATTAATTTAATATGTAGCAGCTAAACAACAACAACAAATTAATACTAAATAATAGAGAACTCAACAACATATTTTTGATGGTACTGTATAAGAATGTTGAAAGTACATGAGCAAATAATTATTTTATTGTTATTTTAGAAATATTAACCTCAAACCTCCTCCAATGTGAATCTTAGTTATTTTGCTTTCAAGCAATTTCATATTTTTATAAAAGATTAGTATTTTGGACCCATCCTCAGCCCTTCCAGTCACTCGGGACACTTTCAAACAAGGATATTTGTTCTGTATGAATGATGGAGTATTAGGAAAACCGATCGAGTGACAAACTATCCAACTAATACAAAGTAAGTAAAACTGATAGTTAAGATAGTTAGGCATAATGAAAAGGAAAATTTGCCCTATTTTTTAAATTTAAAACATTATTATTTTTAAACAGTTTTATTTAAAACATTTGTAATTTACAGTAACTGCAAGAAGTGACTTTATAAACAAATGTCTGTAAATTAATCATTAATGAAAAACAATTTATCATTGTCAAATTTCAAATATGGATGTACACTACAGCCCTGTGGTATTACTTTCCTAAAATAATCTGTCTGCCTTTTAGATTAAGTTCCTAAACTGTTTTTAATGTTATTGTTAACAAAAAACAAAATTCACTGAAACCACCTATGTAATCATGTGTATATCTGCATGTATTACCATAATTATAAAGTGCCACTCATGAGATATATTTATGTATTACTATACATACATTTTCTATGGATATGCACCTAAATTTAAATCCAAATATTTATGTATGGATAGGTATTTTAATACTCACAGATATGAATCCAGAAGTCATCCATCTGTTTCATTTTCAATTAGAATGAACATTATTTTGTAGCAGTGTTAAGCCACAATCAGACATAAGTTTGCATATCTAGAATGTCTTTAAAGGAAAATGAAAATACTAGAACTAGGATTGCAAAGATCTGATCTAATGATACCAAGTCCTGTGTTATGATAAAAAACATTATTTCAGGAAAGGACATGAAAATTTATTTTTAATATAACCATGATCTTATTTTAGTATTTTCATTTAAGGCTTCTAAATAATGTTTTCTTATAAGCTATTGGGCAACAGGTTGGACTATAGGTAATAAAGGATTGCATGCACTAAATTGCATGCAAAAAATAAATATTTCAATCTCATAAATCATTTGTTATCTTATAAATTCTGTGAATTAATTTTTGGACTATTGTAGAGAAGGTTTCATCTCCCTCTTGACAATGCTAAGGTTTATGAGTTTTATTTAAAGATTAAATAGGAATGCTGATATCCCAACAACCTGAACTTGTAGCCATATTTATGTATTTGCAATGTGTAAATATGAAATGTATAGAATTCTTATTAAAAGAACTAGTATATAAATGCAGCTTCTACTTGTTCTTAGGTACCATCTGTTACATTCATAAGCAATAAACAATCTGGGCCTTATTCTAAAAACTTTGATATAAAAATGTATTCAAAAGAATATAGATATATAACATATAGTAAAGCGATAGTAAAAATTGCTTATGAATTAATATTGAGAATTAACTTTTCAGAAATTGATATAAAGTTCCTAAGCCACAATTCATTCTTGACTTTCTATTTGGAATAAAACATCCCCTTCCAATGTATAAAAAACTAGAACCAATGAAAAATTCTGAAAATGAAAGTTAAAAAAAATGAAAATTATTAATGGTCACTTTTGCAAGACTGGCAAATTTGTAAGGATGTGGAATTCTAAATAGAAGCAAAAGGCTTTCCCCATGCATTTGGGAGCATCTAAAGCATTTGGATGTATCTAACTACATTTTCATGATTCACTTTATATTTAAGTATCAATTCAAACAACAGAGAAGAAAATAAGCATGGCAGAAAACAAGGCTCCAAATTCAAAAAAACCATCTACCCCAAATCCAAGGTTTTATTAAATAACTTTTGTTCATTCAACATAACATTATTTTCTACTTCCTTCCCCTTGTTCTACCATCCACCAGTCCTATTTACTCCACCATTATATATTTTGAAACATAAGGGATTTGGGGGAAGGGGGAGGGATACTTCTCTTCAGCTGATAGCCATTCGACAGCAAGAATAACTAACTGGATTTGATGTAAAATTTTCATTTAATCCTAATCATAAGAATAATGCCATAGCTTTATGGGAAAAAACACTTTGTAAAAAATGTGTTGGGTCTCAAATAATTTCTCCAAAAGGAAAAAAACAAATCTGTACAGATAGTTTTGCAGAAATCTATTTGTTCTTATTTGGGCTTATTTACATATTTGGATTAAGCATCATCCCTCATTGCAGCTTTATACATATATTCATAAATTCTCACTGAAACTTATGAATATAAATGATTATCTCTTAAATATACATTTTAAGTCATTACAGTACTTTATGTTAAACATTCTTACACCAGGAATTTACATATCAGATTTCTAAATAGTGGTCAACCACTAAATATGGTCAGCAGAAAACAGAAAAATGTCCACAATCTCCTTAATGATCTTAATGTCCATTTGGAAAGGGCAACTCATAAATAAAAATTCAAAAGCATTTTGCACAAAAAATAATGGCATTTCTAGTTCTTGCAGAACTTTAAGAAAGCATTCTTTTTTTTACAACCAGTTATATCAGAGTTCAAGAATGGTGTGTGTGTGTTTGAGAGAGAGAGTGGGGTCAGAGAAAAAGAGACAAAGACTGAAAGAGAGAGACAGAGAGAGAATGAAGACAAAACTAACCCCTCCTAATGTATATGTTCTATCTCAGCCAAGTATTACTTAGCCATCCAGAGATGACATTATCTTGTTTTTAATATTTTATGCTCCCCAAACACACTTGATCAGTTGATTCATATTCTTTTATAATTTCTTTTGATCTAATTCTGATCACAAAAATATTCCAGATTGATACTGTAATTGGATAATATGCAATTCCTCATTTAACAGAATTCTGCTCCAGATTAGATCAGAATCTGACTGAATTGGGATGTCACACAGAGCAGAAGATAGTTCCTGCCTGAACATTCCAGGCCCTCTTAAGGTGTGAGAGGGAATAGCTACAGTGGTATTTTACTAAACCAGATGGGTCTTCCAAACCATCTATTTCTATCACTATCAAACTGGATTTATACATAAGGACACATTAAAATAACACAAACAGCAGATGCCTATTGAGGAAAAGGGAAAGGGGGATAAAGTGTGATTAGACTGACAGCAGTATGTAGAAACTGGTGTTGCATAGTTGAAGAATTATGAATAAAAGATTTAGATAGCCAATACTTTTTTGTTTTTACCTGTACAATGCTTTACTCTTAAAGTTATTGAAAATTAACAACTTTTTACAAAAGGCCTCTTTGTGATCAATACAGTATAGTATGTTTAAAGTGCTTTTCTCTTCAATCCATCCAAGTCTATTGCTTTAATAGGTCTTTTAAAACTGCACCTGCACTAGCATCAGGTGCTACTGGCATTGGGGTGAAGGTGGGCAAGGCATCTGAAATGGATTTCATAAGCAGATGCCCAGATCCGCTAGTTCCAAGATTAGCTGGAGAGATGAATGGGACTGCTGCTGATCGAGGCGCAAGGAATGGATTTATATCTGGTCTTCGACTGGTTGAGCCTGTTGCATTTAATACAAAACACAGTAACACAATTAATTATTCAACAACACACAAGACATTCTTCACAACTGTTTTGTTTTCAGTTTACAACTCCATATGCTGTTCTTTTATCCACCACAAGACCAATTTAATCCTTTCTAAAGATTTAATATGCAGACATTAATAACACATTATTATTTATTTAGTTTATATCTCACATTTCCATTTGAATATTGAGAATGGTATGCAAAATATAAAGAAATAACTCTACAATGTCAAGTAAATTGTAAATTTTACAGTAAATTAATTTACAGCCTGGAAGAAAGAAGAAACACCTTTAAAGATTTTCCAAGCACTAAAAATATGAGAGACAAAACCAATATACATTTCATATACATATGCAGGCAAATCATAATAAAGTAAAAAAAAACCTTTTATTTTACAGGTATTTGAAGCTTATAACTAAATGAAGTACAGAAAATAATGAATAATGAAAAGTGAATTAACAACAAAAATATCATTTTTAAAATATAATCGTATAAAATTTAACTATGAAATTGAATTGTAATTTTGTAATGCTGAAACCTGATGAAAAATGTAAAGTTAATGTTAAATGCTTCTGGTGATTCTATTACTATGAAATAGATAAAAAATTGATTTATAATGATACTGATAGTTAACATGAGACTTACAGTGGCCAACAATTTAATTTTGGACTTCTGTCTGAATCCTCGTTTGTCTAGTCTTTTTGAAACTAGTCATTTATGTTTCTGGAATCGGAATATTTTCATGTCAAAGTTATTTATTACACAATGCCATTAAGAGATCCAAGACAATCAGAGGTGGTTTTTTTGTGTGTGGCATTCTCCCTGTCCATTTTCTGGTACAAATGCCCTACCAATAATACCAAGTCAATTTTCCAGTCTAAAAAGTGCAACAACTTATTTATTGTCTCAACTGTGCTTTTTGAAGAGGCAACTAGACTTTTTGGCTTTTCTTTGAAGACATTTTGCTTCTCACCCAAGAAGCATCTTCAGAGCTTCATACATTTGTATAAAGGTTTGCCACTGAGGCCTTTAGCTTTGCTTTCTCTAAAGAATCTGAACATAAACTTTGTTTTCTTTAAAACAAACAGAATTCACAAACACCAGTCACAAATCTTTCATTCATAGAAATTGATATGAGAAATGTATTTGTGGCTGTCAATCGACTGTTAATATAAAAAGCAATCTATTATCCAAACAATTAAGGGATAGAGGGTATATGTCTGGTTCTATAAGGCAACAATCCAATTCCTGGAATAGAACTTGTCTTTCCAAAGATTTAGCCAGACAAGAAAACTGGGTGATCGCCAAGCAAAACAGGGCACTTTCACTATTATACTAACAGCAACAAGAGAACAAAAGGAATATAAAACATAAATGACTGAAAATACAAACTTTCAAGATAAGGTTTCAGACTGGAAATCTTTCAAGTTTACTACAGTAATTTAAAGCCAACATTCATAAGTGCTAAACTTTAGCAACTCTGCAGCAAGCAATGTTCTTTTTACAGGACCAAGATTTTAATGTCACATTAAAAACTATATTCAATACCCCATGTGTTATTTTGCTGCCTTTGAAATGCAGATCATAATTCATAATCCTGTAATAACAATAAAAATCAGAAAATTCATTTATAATGAATTCATTTATAATTTCTATGAGCTCATATCACACTTAGTGCAGGTAATAGAGTATTAAAAATTGCCATATTAGCATGTCTAAATCTACTCACCTTTCACCTTATGCTCTGCAACCATTTAAACAAATACAGCCTTGAAAATCCAATATAATATTATAAAATTTAATGTAACATAACATTTATGAAAATGGGAGACATTACCTGCCACATTGCTGGAAGAACTAGTACTTCCTGTCATTCCTAAAGGCTTCATGTTATCAAGAGAAAGTTTTGGTGGGGGGAGAGTTGGGCATGATTCTGTTTCAAGGAACTTCACAAACAGTTCTGAGAAAGACTGAAAAGATGATCCCAATTAAAGTACTGCAAACAGTTCAGTACAAGACATTATGCATTTCACTTATCAATTCAAGATGAGTTGCTTAAGAATTTGACACCTTCATTAAAATTTTGACAACTTGGTAGCTAATTCCTAGGAATCAAGTTCCTGGATCATATGAAGGCCAATGCCCAAAAGAATATTCTTAATTTATCAAATTGTCTACCAGTATATTTACTTGAAAGGAAAGTAACCTGAGTTTATGATATTCCCTCTCTATTCAATACTTGATTCTGTTGCCAGATTTTCAGTTAACCTATAAATGTTACCCACTCTAAAAGGATATTGTTATGGAAATAATATTTCAACTTAGGTCACCATGATTCCAGAGCCTATGAACAGAAAATCAGAACCAGCTGGAATTCTCATTAATTACAATATCTTTGTCACTTTGTGTTTTTTTAAAATAAAAATCAACAGACGTTAAGAAGAAAGTTCTGGAGCAAAATCCTGAATGAATTGTATATAACAAAAATTTATCAACAATGTAAATGTAAAATAAAAATATAAAAGTAGAGCTTCAACCCTTAAAGTCTAAGAGTAATGGCTCAAACATCAGCTTTTACGGCATAAAATGTTCTACATTTTCTATAGAGGAATTACTTAACACACTTACCCTGTTGAAAATCGATTGTTGGCTTGGTCTGAGAGGTGTGTTGGGGACACTTTTGGATTCAGCAGCTCTTCCGCCAAACCAACCAGTTACCCATTGTGTAACACCTTTGTGATCTTCAGTCAATAACTAAAAAGCAATTTAAATCAAAAGGAAAAATACAAATTGGCTATTTTTCAAGTAGAGTATTAGACTTTTCTTTTTCATTATTGACAAGAAAAAACAATTTATGCTTAAAGAATGGAAATACTACATTGCTTCAGATTGCAAAATCTACTCTTCCATATGGAATACTGTTGTTCTCCCATGTTTATCAGAATCTACAGCTAGAAAGTGGAAGAACGTTTGTCTCAAAGGACTTTTTTTCTTCTCACTAATAATTAAATCAACGTGTGGCACTAGATCCATCAAGTTTAGCCCAGCATTTAAATAAGAATAAGAGTACATTGTTGGTATTTAAATACACAAAACACAGAGAGATAAAAAAATTACCTCCTCCAGTTCATCCTTTTTTATTCCTAGGATACTTCCCATTAGCTTTAGTACCTCATGACGCTTATTCTTTGGAGTATGGAAATGCCCAATAAAAAGATTTCTCATCAAGACTCTATTAAAATGAAAATAAAACAAATGGCTTAAATCTGAGAAAAGAAGATGGGGAAGCATACAATATGTATTTTGCCATGATTGTGTATCTCTCCTAATGCTATTTTTAAATAACAAGGAATATCAGTTATAATGTGGAGGCAGTTTAAAAGGAGGGGAGAGAAGAGGAATGGAAAGGATTTCTAAATAAGAGATTAGAACATGGATATATTTGAAAGCAATTTTGACCCTGCTAGGGAATGAAGGATAAAGATTATGTGTTCTCCTATTCTGTGTCAAGCACAGAACGGAAGCAGTGCATATGCTATTCTTGTATACTGTCGCCTATTTGATACACGTTATACACTAACTCTAATTCATATTTTCTGTGTCACTGATAATGTATTAGCCTGAGGGAAAATATATGAAGAAAAATGCAAGTTTATCCCAATTGCACTAAAATTAATGGCTATCATGAAAAATATGAAGAACTTCCATGCAGAGCTTTGCATATATTTACTTGTAACAAACATCACATTTGATATGAAAATTACGTAGCAACACAATAGCCTAGAAGTGATGATGTGTGCCCTATGCCTTCTCAACCATCATCAGCACTATGGTATTGCAAAATAATCATGTAATCATGTAATCATGAGTACCAGTATTGATATCTAATTATTTTGCTGCTTGATTTTTGTCAGTTAATCAAGTTTATGTAAAAGTAGTCATTACGGAAGAAAGTAACATACAGTATTTCCAAATAATCTGGTCCAGATTACAAAAAGTTAAACTAATACATTTAATGCTAACTAACTTTCCAAAAGAATGATCCTTAAAAGATCATGACAGGATTAGCACATGCAATTGATAAGCCAGAAATTACAAAAGTTCTATTCTGAGCACCAGCACAAGACTGCAGAAATAAAATACAGCTAATTTTTAATTTGCAGTGCTTTATTTCTTCAACTAATTCAACTATTTAAATTAGTTTTTTTAAATTATTCCCTGTTAATAAAATATTACATTGAAGAAAAATGTCATCTCTCTTCCTGTTTTAAATTATTGTCATCCCTCCCATTAAGAGCACTTTAATTAATTGGACATATTGAATAATGAATTTAATAGTGTATAATATTTAAAGACCATTTAAAAATTAGTTCGGTTTTATTTTTATGAACTTGTGCTGGCTCTCAAACTAAAGAATTTGCATCTACAAGTAAAATACAATGTGGAAAAGCAAATACTCACTTATCTACTTTTCCTTCAGTACTATTTATGAGGTTCATTAATTTATTTTGCGCATCTTCCAACATTTCTTGTTTGAGTGCACCTAGAGAAAAAAGTTACATTTATTGTATTAAATAAGACATAAAGAAAAAGAGATGCATTAGTTGAGTCTTCAGCTGGAAAAAGATTTCTAAAAATGAGATATGCACTAATAGGAATAAGTAAAAGCTATCATATACAAGCATGTTTTTCAATTTCTATTAATCGTTTTTATTATCTTAGATTTGTTTTTGTACTGTGTTTTTCACTGTCTAGAATCTGTCAGATTCTGTCAAACAGCAGGGTATACATTAAAGGTGTGAGATTATGAAAGCCATTCAGCTTCGGTTAAATGAATTAAAATTGAGAAATTAAGTTCTCTCCATAAAAAATATGATTCTGATTAAATACATTAGTGATGTTGAAATTGTCTTTTTTCCCCATTCCATGTGCACTTCCAATCTCTTCCAGATGTTACCCAATGTCACAACTAGATATAACCCATTTCCTATCTAGTGGAGAATTGTCATTTGAGAAAGATAGATTCTCAAATGTTTGCACCATTAAATAAAACTGCATGAAGCAAGAGTGAGGTTTTTTAAAAATCTCATAAATTATAGAATAAAAAGTTCACAGATCTAATAAAGTCATTAAAAAAAAGACCATCATAAAACCCATAACTATAAAGCTAATGTGGTCAAGGGTGACTGACATACTGCATTTCATAAACAATGTATTAAAATAGTGGCAAGAGTGTGTCATTGGAAGACCAGATTAAGAACAGGCTGTCATGGGGAAAAATATATCCATGCCATTGCTAAAAGTCAAGTGACACATGATCAAAGAGATGAAGGAGCTGTCGAGTCCCAACTGAGCTCCAAACAAGTCTAGTTGACAATACCTCTAGTGCAGCAGTATAAATAATGCATCTCTAGAATAGTAATCACCCTGCCAACAAAAGTGTGTATAGGCTATGGTTTTCCCAGTCGCAATGTATGGCTATGAAAGTTGGACCATAAGGAAGGCTGAGTGCCAAAGAATTGACCCCTTTGAACTATAGTTTTGGAGGAGACTCCTGCGAGTCCCTTGGACTGCAAGGCGATCAAACCGGTCAGTCCTAGAGGAGATCAACCTTGACTGCTCTTTAGAAGGCCAGATCCTGAAGATGAAACTCAAATACTTTGGCCACCTAATGAGAAGGAAGGACTCACTGGAGAAGAGCCTAATACTGGGAAAGATTGAGGGCAAAAGAAGAAAGAGACAATAGAGAATGAGGTGGCTGGATGGAATCACTGAAACAGTTAGTGTGAGCTTAAATGGACTCCGGGGAATGGTAAAGGACAGGAAGGCCTAGAGGAACATTGTCTATGAGGTCGCGATGGATCGAGCATGACTTCACGACTAACAACAACAAAGAGTAATAAAATACTTAGATTTAAAGTTGACTCCTGTAAATTTTAGATAATACAATTCTGTAAGTGCCCTGTGCTTACAAGGAAAATTAATTTAATCAATAAGTATCTGCCTACCTCAATTTATTCTAACACAGGACGAAATTCAGAAATTGATATAATACTTTATCAATGACAAAACTGATTTAGACAGGACTAAATTTCAAAACTTCTGTTGACCCAGACACTTAAAATATTGCCTTTCAATTTGTTAACCATTTATGGAAATTCAAAAACCTAAATCTAGTATGTCTTTTGTTTTTCCACAATTGTAATATCTGGTGCCAAAATAATCAATTTAAAAATCCTTCAGCAGTTCAGGCCAAGAAAACCTTGTCTAGGAATGTATTTGGCCACTATTCAACACGACATTATATGTTTTCTTGTGCAAATAATAGTCTTTGAATAAAGTCTCCATTACTTGAGAAAAGAAAAAAAGTAGACTAGTTAAAGGTAAGATTTGATAGATATTAACCTCCAATCATTGTCATGACCTTTAACTGGGCGAAACGGTGTGTCATAGGGTAACAATTTCTGAACCAAGTTACCTTAAAGGGGTTACAGAATATGTCCAAAATCTGGGACCCACAATTACCAAAGGAATGAAATTTGGGGAAGTTGTGGATGCTTCAGTGCTATTGGCTGTTGCTGCGGTCATGTGATTTTCATTTTCAGTAAATGACGGTATATAAACGTGACCCAGGATAATGTTCCAGGATCCAGTATGATTTGGTCAGCGGGACCAAATATTTATTCTTCTAAACTCTGGGCTCGTGCTTGAGCTGATCATCAGGGAAATTCTCTCTCTCCAGAATATGTGCAAATAGAACTGCCCTGTGCATATATTCTGGAGAGAGAGAAAGGTTCCCTGATGATGGGCTCCAGCATGAGCCCAAAAACTTGGAAGAATAAAACTTTGGTCCTGGTGACCAACTGAGATTGGAACTTTCATTTCAACGTTCCTTGAGAGTTTCCCAGCCAATCACCCAATCCCTTGCTCCCTCACTGCACAGTTTCTCGTGCAGTGGCTGCTGATCTCATGTGGCCATCCAGGAGCAGCCACTTACCTGCCTGCTGACAACTGTTTGTGTTAGGCTTAGGGAAAGGAACAGGGAAGATTTCTGATCATCCCTTCCAGATTCCCACAAGGAAACTCAATGGAGAAGTTGGCAGGAACTACCAGTTTTTGTTTCCACTGGTTTTTGCCTGTCTTGCTGATTGAAGCTCTGCTAAGATAATGTAATATCTCTGAAACAATGCCATTAGGGCATGGGTTCTCTAGTATATTTTAATAGCTCTGAATCTATCAAGAAACAGGCTATATAGAGTATTGTTCTTCCTTTGTCTATTACACAGTAATTTACTGAAGTATTTTTGCAAATTTCCTCCCCCTATACAGTGCAAAGCATATCTCTGTGGGATAAGCTTTGTCCTGTGCCCTGAATATTTGTGTATTCAAAAGGAGCACTTGCCCTTTTCCTTGGATTTAAAGCCAATGACTTCCTTACAGAATAGAATAGCTCAACTGCATTGACAGCTGCCAAACTCTGAGTTCAGGCACACGTTCTGCTTGCTGCTGCACGAAGTTGCTTCACTGACCATTTGCAGGAAACATAACATCATAATGTCCATTTCAATATAATACTACTGTTGAAACAGACCAAAAGTGCTTTAAATGTTCCTTCTTATTCCAACAAAAGGCAATATAAGGTGTATGAAAGGGGGGCCTCATCACATTCGTATCAGTGAGCTGTTCATCTCCAAATGGCTTGATTCGTTCTACTACAGAACGTTCCCTCCTGTCCAACTGCTGGGCCATATATCTGTTCTGTGATATTGCTTTTGAGAACGAAATTTCAGCCACTTTATTTGCTGAAAATATTGACATACTGATCTACAAATCTCAGAATAAGATTTGATATGGCAAAGAATATCCCATAACCTAAAATATGTTGTGCATGCCAATTACAAGAAGGCAATTCAAAGGTAAAACAATGGGTATGAAGCACAGTGAAACTTGGCTGCAGGATGTACTATGTGCTTTACGTGCTAATATCCCATTAAAGTACAAACTGAAAACACACAGCTGGAATTTAGGGCAATGTTTATGCAATTAAGCAATAAACATCACAGTTTCTTGTACAGTGGCTGCTGATCTCATGTGGCCAAATCCCAAATTGCTCCACATCCCCAACTGCTTTACAGACCACAAATACTATTCTCACATCTAATGATCAAAGCAGATGTGCATTACATGAGGGTAAGGTGAAATAGTATCTTGCTCAGAATAACCCAGATACGGTTTATAGGCTTTGAACTGATTCTAATTACTGTAAAGCACTTTGATTTTATTTACTTTTCTTAGTAGAGGTAACTGCTTTCTTTAAAGGACAATAAACAAAACAGAATGTTTTTGAGAGCATTATTAAGTAATGATGAAAATACAATCTGGCTTTTTGCCTGCTGTTCTTTCTCCTGTAAATATTCTCATTTTGGATTGACAGAATCGTCATTCAGGAAATCAGCAGAATAACGAATGATTGCCATGAGAGGAGAGCTTTAAAGGCATATTTATTTTATTAAAAATATTGCCATAAAGAGAATTTTGGCTACATTTTATTAAAATACAAGTCCATATGAGTACATTTAAATTGCACTATTAAGAAACAATCTCCATCTGAGTTATGCAAAATAAGTTTGTCTGCACTGCTATTCTTACATATATATTTGCAATACTAAGATAAGCAGAATTAGCTTCATTTTTGGAAAAAAAAGTGTTTATCTTGGCAAATCTTTCTACCGTCTGGCCAAGATGTAAATAAAATATATTGTGACAGCATTTATCAACACTTCAGTATATTTAGTCCAAAAATAAGGAGGCAAAGTTGAAGGCAAATGCACAAGTGGATTCACTATATTTGTACAGCCGAGTGCGTGCTTGAAATTGTTGTTTTTTAGTCTAGAAGTTTGTATTTTCTGAATAGAAAAGCTACCTAGTACAGGTTTCTTCTTGTGAAAGGAGATATTGATACATATTTCATTGCATCAATATAATACTTGTAATCGTCACTACATTTTAGCAGCTGTCGACCATCTTTGGCCCTACCACATTTCTCTCAGCTTCAAATCCAGTTGTTTAACCAATATGGCCAATTATGACAAATGCTGGAAAATAGAATTCAGAAATACATGGAAGGTAACAAGCTTCTGACCCAACTTTAAATTAATGAAAGCACTTCATGTAGCAGGAATCAATAGTAATAGGGTCTTTTCAACTTCTGAAAAAGGTATGTATGTATCTGGAATGTATTTCCTGACAGAGGAATGTAATGGGAGCAGGGATTAAACAGCATTATAGCATAAGTACAATGAATCTCAACAAACCAAATTAACACATACCTTACCTGTAGCAATATTCTTGGCTCTCATCTGCCCAATGAAGAAATTAAATATTTGTATTTGGAGAAGATAAAAAAAGTTGAAAACAGAGGATTTACTTTTTGATGAAATATTATTTATGAAAAATTGTTGGAATTTGATTAGATTATATTCCTCACAAAGCAAGTTTCCAATTCCCATTTTCTTACAAGGACAAAATGTCTTAATTTTAATG